CGTTCGTGCGACCAGGACGGCAAGAGCAGCTCGTCACCAGAGAATGCACTGTAAGGTCGTGAAGTGCGCGCGCACGGCGCGCAGGTGCAGGCTGACGGCACCACTGGAGCAGCAGAGTGCAGCAGCCGCGGGGGCAGATGCCCATCAGGTTCATTGAGTTTTCAGCCACAGAATCAGGCAGATGAGGACATTCCTATGCGACGCATCTAGCCCCCAGGGCGATGCGTCACGACGCTGCTGGACTTGCGTGGCCCCGGGCGCGATCCTGCATATCGGATGCCGCGGGAGTGCCTGCAGATGTGGATTCGGACATGGTTCACGCAGCGCGATGCGCAGCGGCATCGAGCGAACTTGGAGGCAGCTTGCCCAGGAGCTTCGCTCCACGAGCCCGCAGCTGCGCAGCCGCCACATACGAGGGCCGCAGGCTGCAGCGATTGCCTACCTCCTGCAAGAGAGATGGGAACCAGAGGGGAGGCCGACTGCCGTGTTCAGAGGGACGGTCGGAGATCCAGCACAACTGGCAGCTCAATCCAGAGGCTCTGACAGGTTGAAAGAACATTGATGTGCCCAAGGCCTTCTTGCAGGAGTGCGAGGGCGCCGTCATGCAGAGGTTGTGGCGTCAGGCCGCAACTCATTCTGACGGTGCTGGCATGGAGGGAAGGATCTGCAATCTCTCGTTCCGAGCACTTCTCCGTCAAATGGAGGAGGCGCCCAACGGCAGACAGCTGTCGGGCATCCTTTTGTCAGCGGCGGCAGGAGCAGCCTGGCCGCGAGAGCGCAGGTCTGAGAAATCCAGATTGCCAGTATCTCAAACGTGTGCCCGATGTCGTAGTGAGAGAGAGTTTTCGTTTCACCGCAGTTGGAGCTGTTCGAAGTTTGTTGATCATGACATGTACATATTATCAAATGAATATGCCCCTATGGGCCCACACACAGCACCCAGGTTGAGCCGTGGTTTTGGCATCGAGCCCTCTTGCCACAATCATGGGTCTCAGTTCCGCCCCCACAAGAGGAGGCTGTCTGGTGGAGCGAGGGCATAGGGGCGTTCGAAGATAACTGTTTCGGTCGCGGCTCGGTTTCGGCTCCTGTCTGTCTTTTCGGGGATGCCAGCGGGGGCGAAGATACCAGCGACCCTCGGTTCCGTAGAGCGGGCTGCGGCAAAGCACCATATTCGGATATTTCCGAGAATATGCAGCTGGTGGCGTCTGTGTGGAGGGGCTTTCCTGGACCCCAGCAGACTGTAGCCAGGGGTGAGCTTTACAGTTTCCTGTCTGCGCTGATCGGCGCCGATGGAGTTGTAATATATACCACAGATAGTTCTAGCGTTTGTTCGGGATGGTATTGTGGCCGAGCTTTCGCCCCTCACCTCAGGGCGCTCGGTCGCGGGGTTTCTGGCTTCTGATTCGGGGGATGCCTCCCCCCCTCCCTCGGGCATGCTCTCTGCAGGGCGCGGCTGTCCCCGGGGCCCTTGGCCTGCTCCTGGGGGGGGGGCACGTTTCGTCCGCTCCAGCGGGCGCAACACAGTGGCACCAAAGCGTGAGCGCGTGCATTCATTATCCCCCCCCCGCGGGATACCGAGTGCGCAGGGCCTACTCAGTTCGGAGCCGAGGCTGTGTGCCGTTTTTTGTGATGCCCATTCCTTTCAGGAATTCCCGCCTCAGGACCGGGACGCATCACGGACGGCCAGACGATCCAGGACATCGGCCTCTCCCCCCTCCCCTGCTTTAGCGAGGACCATCATAGGCCTCTGCCCCTCTGGCGGTGACCATCATAGGCGCCACCCCTCGGCAGCTACCATCATAAGGGTTGCCAGGGTCCCACTCCCATCAATACACCAATCCATGTAGCCGTCATTGGCGCTGGAGGGAGCGAGGCTATCCCTACGGTCCCTCGGCCAACGAAGACGGCCGTAGGGAGGGGTGCCAACGTACCTCCACAACTCAATCCTTCAAGACCTTAAGGCGCCAATTGCCACGATTCACTGTTTTCCTCCTCCCTCCTTCCTCCTTCCTCCTCCCTCCTCCCTCCTCCCTCCTCCCTCCTCCCTCCTCCTCCTCCTCCTCCTCCTCCTCCCCCTCCTCCTCCTCCTCCTCCTCCTCCTCCTCCTCCTCCTTCTCCTCTTCCTGGCCCCGGCCATGATGTCCAGCCACCCCCCTGGCGCCGATCCGAGAGACCCGCGCGGGGCTCCGAAAATCTCTGTCCATGCAACGCTTCGCCCCGCGAGGACATAACCAAACGGGCCACGTGGTGGTCGGCAGGTGTGGGACGTGGAGCCTCAAGGCGCCTCATCATCACCCCCCTTGAGGAAACTGAAGCATACCGATCTCCTCCACCTCCTCCTCCTCCTGCTCCTACTCCTCCTCCTGCTCCTGCTCCTCCTCCTCCTCCTCCTCCTCCTCCTCCTCCCTCCTCCTCCTCCCTCTCCTCCCTCTCCTCCCTCTCCTCCTCCCTCTCTCCTCCTCCTCCTCCTCCTCCTCCTCCTCCTCCTCCTCCTCCTCCTCCTCCTCCTCCTCCTACTCCCCCCGATCTCTCCCGGAGTACGTTCTGACTGGAACTTCGAGGCGAACCCAGCCGCTGCGACGAGGGGCCTCCTGGGAGCCCCGAAACGGCGACCCGGGAAGGCTATCAGTATCGGTACATCTTCCTGTTCTGAGTGGCGCGGCTCCTCGCACCCCTACCCTTCCCTCCTCTCCTTACTGCCTCCTCCTCCTCCTCCTCCTCCTCCACCTCCTCCTCCGCCTCCGCCTCCTCCTCCCCCCCCCTCTTCCTCCTCCTCCTCCTCCTCCTTCTTCTCCTCCTTCTCCTCCGTATCCTCTGTCTCCTACTCCTCCTCCTTCTCCTCCTTCTCCTCCTCCTCCTCCTCCTCCTCCGTCCGCCGTCCTCCGTCCTCCGTCCTCCGTCCTCCGTCTTCCGTCCTCCTCCTCTTCCTTCTCCTCCTCCTCCTCCTCCTCCTCCTCCTCGAACCCCTTCCCAGAAATGCGACTCATGATTCCCAACCATCCTGTGGTGTTGGGCCCTCGTCGTCGTCGTCCTCCTCCTCCTCCCTCCTCCCCTTCCTCCTCCTCCTCCTCATCGTCACCAGCAGCATCATCCCACCCATTTTGGCACACCCCTCACACGGTTCGTGGCCCCACATGGAGCTCCACCGAAGGCCCCAATGGCACAGGCCGCATGCGGGGACCGCACCCATTTTGGCACACCCCTCACACAGTTCGTGGCCCCACAGAGGCCGCATGCTGGGACAGCACCCATTTTGGCACACCCCTCACACAATTCGTGGCCCCACAGGGAGCTCCACCGAAGGCCCCAGTGGCACAGGCCGCATGCGAGGACCGACACCCATTTTGGCACACCCCTTACGCGGTTCGTGGCCCCACAGGGAGCTCCACTGAATGCCCCAGCTGCACAGGCCGCATGCAGGGACTGCCACCCATTCTGGCACACCCCTTACGCGGTTCGTGGCCCCACAGGGAGCTCCATCGAAGGCCCCAGTGGCACAGGCCGCATGCGGGGACCGCACCCATTTTGGCACCCCCCTCACACGGTTCGTGGCCCCACAGGGAGCTCCACCGAAGGTCCCAGTGGCACAGGCCGCATGCGGGGACCGCACCCAGTTTGACAAACCCCTCACACGGTTCGTGGCCCCACAGGGAGCTCCAACGATGGCCCCAGTGGCACAGGCCGCATGCGGGGACCGCACCCATTTTGGCACGCCCCTCACACGGTTCGTGGCCCCACAGGGAGCTCCACCGAAGGCCCCAGTGGCACAGGCCGCATGCGGGGACCGCATCCAGTTTTGGGACACCCCTCACACGGTTCGTGGCCCCACAGGGAGCTCCACCGAAGGCCCCAATGGCACAGGCCGCATGCGGGGACGACCACCCATGTGGCAAACCCCTCACACAGTTCGTGGCCCCACAGGGAGCTCCAACGATGGCCCCAGTGGCACAGGCCGCATGCGGGGACCGAACCCCTTTTCGGCACACCGCCACAGGGAGCTCCACCGAAGACCCCAATGGCACAGGCCGCATGCGGGGACCGCACCCATTTTGGCACACCCCTCACACGGTTCGTGTCCCCACAGGGGGCTCCACCGAAGGTCCCAATGGCATAGGCCGCATGCGGGGACCGCATCCCATTTTGGCAAACCCCTCACACGGTTCGTGGCCCCACAGGGAGCTCCAACGATGGCCCCAGTGGCACAGGCCGCATGCGGGGACCGCACCCCTTTTGGCACGCCCCTCACACTGTTCGTGGCCCCACAGGGAGCTCCACCGATGGCCCCAGTGGCACAGGCCGCATGCGGGGACCGCATCCCATTTTGGCACACCCCTTACGCGGTTCTTCGTGGCCCCACAGGGAGCTCCAACGATGGCCCCAGTGGCACAGGCCGCATGCGGGGACCACCACCCATTTGGCACGCACCTCACACGATTCGTGGCCCCACAGGGAGCTCCACCGAAGGCCCCAATGGCACAGGCCGAATGCGGGGACCGCCACCCCTTTTGGCACGCCCCTCACACTGTTCGTGGCCCCACAGGGAGCTCCACCGAAGGCCCCAGCGGCACAGGCCGCATGCGGGGACCGCACCCATTTTGGTACATCCCTTACGCAGTTCGTGGCCCCACAGGGAGCTCCACCGAAAGCGGTACCCACATGGTTGGGTTGGGTGATTCGTCAAGCTAATTTTGCACAATTCGCGGAACCCAGAAGTCCTGACCTTTTCCACACGACCCGTTTCTCATCCTGAATCGTCTTTCGGCGGTCCAGTAGGGCCCCGCGAAGGCCGAGAACGGCGAAAAACTGCCGCCCCGACTGTTTCACGAGGCGATCCTGTCTGGGTCGTCCTCCTCCTCTGAACTCCCCTTGGCCGCCCCCAGAATGTTTCGATCGACGAAGGAGGAGGAGGAGGAGGAGGAGGAGAAGGAGGAGGAGGAGGAGGAGGAAACGGAGACGAAGGAGGAGGAGGAGGAGGAGGAGGAGGAAATTTGCCGCCCCAGCGGCACCTGCCACCACCGCGGCGCCCGGGAGCAAGCGCCGCGCCGCCGCGGCGCCGCCCCGCTGGCCGGGCTCCTGAATGCGCAGTCGGACGAGCTCCGCCTCCTGTCGGGCGGCGCGCGGGGCAGGAAAGCAGCCAGAGGAGGGGGATGAAGAGGAGGAGGAGGAGGAGGAGGAGGAGGAGGAGGAGGAGGAGGAGGAGGCGGAGGAGGAGGAGGAGGAGGAGGGGGAGGAGGGGGAGGAGGAGGAGGAGAAGGAGGAGGAGGAGGAGGAGGAGGAGGGGGAGCAGGAGGAGGAGGAGGAAAGCGACGACCTCCTTCACGCTGCGCTGATGCGCTCGCGTGGCGGCAGGGCTTGCCGGGGGCAGCTTAATCTACGGAGCGCCCTGGGTGCATAATGCACCAGCAAGCAGCTGTGGTCATAGGAGCCAAGATCACACCAGAGACAATCCCCATCGGTGGATGTTTGATTTTGATCGATAGTACCTCAATCGGCGTTCCTCCAGCCCTCATCTAGCTCGAACATGATGTCTAGTCCCGTCATATTATTGCATGTTATGTCATGGTCTATGAAAATGTATAGATCTTGCTTGTTGTGTTCTCTCTCTCTCTCTTGTTTTCTACATCTCTGTCTCGCTCCATACACATTGATATGCGTATATGAGTACACGTTTACATCTATTTACACACATACTAGAACATACGCACACACCTATACATATATACATGTACAGGTATGCACATACACATACGCATACTAGAACCACGCGCGCGCTTCGCTCGCGCTGAGGTTCGAGCAAACTCTAGTTGTAGTCTACAGAGTTGGGCATAGGAGGGCATCTTTTGTCACACGGATCGTGCCCCTCAGGGAGCTCCACCTGCGTTCCCAGAGACAGGCTTGGCTTAGCGTCCCCCCGCCCATGTCGGCACACCCCTCACTGGGATCGCGCCTCACAGGGAGCTCCACCTACGTCCCCAGAGACAAGGTTCGCATAGTGGCACGCCCCTCACGCGGATCGTGCCCCGCAAGTAACTGCATCTGCGGCACCAAAGGGACACCGTTTTTGCCTCATGACGTCGACCCGCTCACTTCGGCACGCCTCTCACCCAGATCGTGGCCCGCAAGGAGTTCCACGGACGGCCCCAACCATCCCGCCTACTCCGGCATGCCTCTCACGCACGGATCCTGGCCCACGATGACCTCCGCCTACGGCCCCAGAGAGGCAAGGTGCGCACTGCGCTCCCCCCCCCCCAGCCATTGCGGCACACCCCATCACGCGGATCGTACTCACAAGGAGCACTACCTGAAGGCCCAGAGACAAGGCTCGTACAGCGCCCCCCCGCCCATGCCGGCACACCTGTCACGTGAATCATGCTCCCCAAAGGAGCTCCACCTATGGCATCCAGGGGCAGCTTCGCATCGCATGGAGTCGCCCCGCCCATTGCGGAACATGCCTGGCACGGGTCGTGCCCAGAGGAGGTCCACCTGCGGCCTCAGCAGGCGTGTTCGCGCGGCCCTTCACGCGGATCGTGCCCCACAAGAAGTTCAGCGTACCCGTGCACGCGTGTTCCGCAGCAGCCATCTTTCCGCATTGCCCCGCGGCGCGCAGTGTAGGAAGAGAGACACGCGCCCTGCACTACACATTACTGCGTAGGCATGGGTCCGTCGCGAAACCAATTGCTTGCTTATGTATGGCCTTCGGCCCATACCGCCACAAGTACTGTGCCTGAGTTTTGGGCCAGAGGATTCTTGGATATACACCTGTAATTCGGGGTCGTTCGGCATGCTTCTCGGGCCCCTCGTGGAGCGAGTTTTGAAGCTTCTCGTCGCCTCATGTGGGCCCTGTGGGGGCCTCTTAGACTCTTCTGGGACCCGTGGGGGCCTCTTGGGTCGCTGCTGCGGCCTCGGGGCGCACTCGTGGCGGAGGGCTCGAAATGTCAGTTGGAGTTCCCCCTCTTGGACTCCTTGGGGCGCTCTTGGGCCGTCTTGGACGCCTCTTGGACCGTCTTGGGGCTCTCTTGGGCCGTCCTGGGACCCTCTTGGAGGCCTCTTGGGATGTCGTGGGGCGATCTGTGGGGCCTCTTGCGTCGTTTGGACGCTGTCAAGACCCCAAGCGCGAGTATGCAAAACATGGAATCTTTCCTCAGGGAACGACGCAGGTTTGGCCTCCGGTCAAATGGAGAGCCACTGAGAGTGGTGCTAATTGGCGCGAGCCCTGCACGGAAATCTCAGAAGCCCTGGACAACGGAGAGCCACTAAAAATGGTGCACAGTGGCGCGGGCTTCGCACAAAGGTATCAGAAGTCCTGTACAACAGACAGCCACTGACAATTGTGCGAACTGGCGCGAGCCCTGCAGAGATGTCTCGGAACGGACAGAGCGGGAACCGACGGAACACCGCCCGAGACATCCAATAAACTCGCTGTCGATGTGGCTCTCGGAGTCGCCACCATCGCCAGCCTGGACGAGTTGCGGTCCCGAGAGAAGCGGGAACTGCCCTGTCCGCCCCCTCCCCGCCTCCCCCGTTACCCTTCGTCTCCTCCAACCCTCGCTTCCCCGCCAGCTCCCGCGCGCGCTCCCCCTCCGTGGACGCGATGGCTCGAAAAGTGGATCGTGGCGATTCTTACCCGGAGCAGCTTACCTCGAGGGCGTCCCAAGCGAAGCTGGTCAGACTATCTCTCGCGCAGCATCTGACGACGTCTCGGAAGGAGCGGCCTGGACCGCCACAGATCAGGGCATCTCTGAGCCCAGAGTTGCGAGGGTGTCTCAGGCGAAACTGGCCGGAAAATGTCACGCGGCGTCTCCAAGCCCAGAGTTGCGAGAATGTCTCTGGCGAAAGTGGCTGGACCACCTCGCGCGCTGCATCTCCGAGCCCACCTGTTTCAAAGCGAAACTGACTGGACCACCTCGCGCGCTGCATCTCCGAACCCAGAGATGCGGGGACGCCGGCATCTCCGAGCCCAAAATTGCGACAATGCTTCAAGCCCAACTGGCCGGACCACCTCAGTTCAGGGCATCTCCGAATCCAGGGATGCGAGGACGTCTCTGGCGAAACTGGCAGAACCACCCCCGATGTTGGCGGATGTCTCTGAGCGCTGGCCCCTTGGCAAGAAATGGCTTCTACCGCAACGGGACCCCGGTCGGCACAGCTGGTTGGGGAAGCGCGGTACAGGAACGGGAGCGGGAGGGGGAGACGAGAGACGAGGAACAGACAGGAGGAGAAGGGCCGACGAGGAGGCGACATTTCCAGCTTGGCTCCCTGGCTGTGCCCTGCTTTTGATTTTTGATGGCATGCATGATAATGACATGCGCACGTGCTGGCAAGACAACGCCAACGTGGACCAAACAACCCCCTGGACAACCCCGCAAGGATCCGGACCACCCCACTGGAGAACGCCCTTGGACAAGCCTCACCAGGATTTTCTCCCATCAGATATAGTAGCAGGCAGACTTTGACCCATCGGCTTCACTGCGCTACGATCGTGATGCGCTGACATCAGGGTGCACGTCGCAGTGAGTGACCATTAGCAGGAGAAGCGGCGGAGGGAACCAAAGCCGAGGATGCTGCTGACGACAAGATCGCGGCGTGCCAGCCGCCCTCGAGCACGGGCGACCTCGAGGGTCGCGCTGAGCAGGGAAGGCAGCGGCAACCACCACGTCGCCGAAGACACCCCGCCCCGAGAGTGCACGTCGCGAGAGCGGGGGCAAGACATACTCGGGACACTGCAGGCTGTCCGAGTGGCCTCCAGAGCAGTTCTGAGCGGCGGGCGGGAGGCCAGAAGGCCCCAGAAGGGTCAACAATGTCGTGGACGAAAAGGTGGAGGAATCCAGAAGGGTGTCCCAGCCCGGGCCCTGGGCCCCGGGTACCCCAGACTAGATCTCTCTATCTCTCTCTCTCTCTCTATATATATATGTATCCATGTAGCTCGCCCCCCCCCCCAGTATCATACCTTTTCGCTTTCGCTCCAAACTCCAATCGTCAATCTCCTCCTCTTCATCCTCCTCCTTCTCCTCCTGGCCCGTCTGATGTGCTGGAGAGGGAACCTGAAAAGGCTCCCTGGCCAGTGGCGGGAGGGGAAACCAGCAAGAGGAGCAGGAAGGCGGAGGAGGAGGAGGAGAGAATTGAATCTGGCGCTGAACCCTTCGGGGCTCGTGCCACTGGCGCTGTCCCCTCGTCGTGGTCAGAGCCTTCTTTGATGTATGTGATGGCCTCTTGGGATGCCTCACAGCAGTATTGAGCGATAGATTGAGCTATCGACCGAACAGGGAAACTGACAAGTTTTCATTTTCGGTCATGGACATGCAAACTGACAAGTTTCTATGTTCGGTACGGGGAGGGAAACTGAAACGTGTTCCTGCCCCGTCGGCAGAGGGGAACTGAAAAGTTTCCCTCTGCCGTTCCAGGCTCACTGGAGAAGGAAACTGAAAAGTTCCCTTGTTCAGTTACGGGAGCGGGAAACTGAAAAGTTTCTCGCTCCCGCTCTCGCTTGCAAATCGCTGAAGAAGGAAACTGAAAAGTTGTCTTGTTCGGCTACGGGAGCGGGAAACTGAAAAGTTTCTCTGTCCCGTCTCCAAATCACTGGAGAAGGAAACTGAGAAGTTGTCTTGTTCAGTTACGGGAGAGGGAAACTGAAAAGTTTCTCTGCCCCGTCTCCAAATCACTGGAGAAGGAAACTGAAAGGTTCCCTTGTTCATTTATGGGAGAGGGGAACTGACAAGTTTCTCTGCCCCGTCTGAAACAAGACGGAGGGGGATTGTTCAATCAGCCCACTCACACAGAAAACCTCGTCTTGGTAATAAAGGGCCACTAACGCATTTTTTTCTTGAGGCCGACTCCCGCGAAGGCTCACATGTATCGTCTTGGAGACCGACTCCCGCGAAGGCTCACAGGTATCGTCTTGGAACCCTTCGGGGCTCGTGCCGCGGGGCTTATTGATGCATGCATTGTTCGTATCATCCCAGAGCACCGTTTTCCAGCTTTTCCCGCTTGTCCCAGAGACTGCCCATTGAAAAACAATATGTTTCCCAGCTTTTCCAACTTTTCCAGCTTTTCCCAGAAACTAAACCATTGAAAAACCTAATGTTTTCCAGCTTGTCCAGCTTTTCCCAGAGACTACCCAATTGAACAACCATGTGTTTTCCAGCTTTTCCAGCTTTTCCCAGAAACTACACCATGGAAAAAAACATGTGCTTTCCAGCGTTCCCAGCTTTTCCCAGAGACTACCACATTGAAAAACCATGTGTTTTGCAGCTGTTCCAGCTTTTCCAACTTTTCCAACTTTTCCCAGAGACGGCATGATTGAACAACCCTGTGTTTTCCAGCTTTTCCAGTTGCTCCCAGAGACTACACCATGGAACAACCGTGTGTTTTCCAGCTGTTCCAGCTTTTCCCGAGGCCTTCAATGGTGTCGTCTTTGGGAAAAGCTGGAAAACATATGGTTGTTCCATGGTGTAACCTCAGGAAGGCATTAAGAAACCCCCTTGGTTATTCTTAGCACCCGGTTTTCTCAATATTCCAGGCGGGCAGTTTTAGCCGAACGATACACTTAGCACCCGCCGCACACAGAAAACAAAATCCACCATCGGCGGCCGCCCCACTAACGCCAAGAGAGGGTGTCGTGACGAATGTCAAGGATTTAGCCCAGATCGGACGACGACGACGACGACGACGACGAGGAGGAGGAGGAGGAGGAGGAGGCTTGGCAGGAGCAAATCTGCGCTTGGCAGGCCTTAGCTAGGCCCCGAGTCCCCTCAGCCAGGTCTTCCGGTGCGGCCATAACGCTCCAGGGTGCGGGGGCGTTATAATCCACCGGAAAGGGGGGGGGGGTTCTTAATGCCTTCCTGAGGTTAGTCTCTGGGAAAAACTGGAAAAGCTGGAAAACATATACTTGTTCAATGTAGCAGTCTCTGGGAAAAGCTGGAAAAGCTAGAACAACTGGAAAACACATGGTTTTTCAATTGGGTAGTCTCTGGGAAAAGCTGGAAAAGCTGAAAACACATGGTTTTTCCATGGGGTAATCTCTGGGAAAAGCTGGAAAACACATGGTTTTTCAATGGGGTAGTCTCTGGGAAAAGCTAGAAGAGCTGGAAAACATAAGGTTTTTCAATGGGGTGCTGGAAAACACATGGTTTTTCCATTGTGTAGTCTCTGGGAAAAGCTGGAAAAACTGGAAAAACTGTGAAAAAATAGATAATTGTTTAATTTGGTAGTTTCTGGGAAAGCTGGGAAAGCTGGAAAAGCTGGAAACACACATGGTTTTTCAATGGTGTAGTCTCTGGGATAAGCTGCACAAGCTGGACAAGCTGAAAAACATATGCTTTTGGAGAGAGAGAGAGAGAGAGAGAGAGATGAGAGAGAGAGAGAGAGAGACAGAGAGAGAGAGAGACAGAGAGAGTGAGAGAGACAGAGAGAGAAAGGTATGATACTGGGGAGGGGGGGCGTCCATATATATATATATATATATATATATATATATATGTATATATATATATATATATATACATACATACATACGTAGCACCCCGCAGATGCGGATAAGAGTGAGGAGGAGGTGGGGATGTCGGCAGTTTGCGAGACTCTGGAGAAGCCCGCCGCAGGCGCCAAAGTTTGCCAAATTATACAACGAGCCCGCAGCAGGCGCCGATTTTTTCGTTACGCCAATGTGGATAGGTCGCGGTGGGTCGCAAACTGGTCGCTGTTGGGTCGCGGGTGTAGAGGGCAGAAAATCCACCCCATAAATCGCCAGCCCAACGGGCCAGAGGCGTGCTAAGATCTCCAATAACTACTTAACAATATTTCTAGTTCGCGCGCGCGGGGCGGCCCCTGGGGGGCCCCGGACGAAAAGTACCCCGGCTGACCCCCGGCTGACCCCTGGCTGGGTCCCGGGCGATCCCCAGGGGGGAGGCTATTTTTCGCCACCCCTCACGAGGATCGTGGCCTCCGAGGGGGGGGGCTGCAATCGACTACCCCCCCTACCGCCCCAAGGGGCCCCCGAGAGCCCCTCAAGAGGCCCCAGGGGAGCCCAATACGCCGCCAAGGAGCCCCAAGACGATCCCCAGAAGCCCCCAAGAAGCCCCCAAGACGGCCCCAAGAGGCCCCAAATGGCGCTCCAGGGCCGGCGGAATGAGCGAAGCGATTAAATAATCACACCGACAAGCGAAGCCGTTTAGTAAACGCACACAAAGAATGAATCGAACAGGGCAAGGCTGTTTAGTAAACGCCCAGGGCCGTTTAGTAAATGTCAGTTGTCGGGTCCGGGTGTTGTCTCCTCCCTTGAGGGTGGGTCGCGGGGTGGGTCGCTGGGTGGGTCGCGGGGTGGGTCGCGGGTGGGTCGCGGGGTGGGTCGCGGGTGGGTGGCGGGTGGGTCGCGGGGTGGGTCGCGAAGGGGTCGCGGGTTGGTCGCGGGTGGGTCGCGGGGTGGGTCGCGGGGTGGGTCGCGGGGTGGGTCGCGGGGTGGGTCGCGGGGTGGGTCGCGGGGTGGGTCGCGGGTGGGACGACGACAACAAACAACAACAACAACAACAACAACAACAACAACAACAACAACAACAACAACAACAACAACAACAACAACAACAACAACAACAATTACTTTACCCGAACACTCCGTTCTCACCAGTGCCAGGGTTTTCATACGACGCCAGCCAATACCCCCACTTTGTGGGGGGGCCGGTTCAAGCTCTACCAAATTTCCAAACGACTCTTCGCCACCACCCACACCCAGCTTCCCGCCCTATGACGTTCGGACACTTCACTTCGTGGCCTGCGGACGACCGTGGCTACTACACTGGCGCATGGGTACAGTGACTTGTTGTGGTAACATTTTCTGGACGCTAGCTTAGTATACGACTTTTCCCCCTGTTCCAACACTGGACACCTGTACTGGTTTTTGGTGGTAACGTGGTGGTAACGTGTTCCTGATCAGTGATTTTGTTCGATGACGTGGTGACACACGGACTTGTTGTGGTAACGTGCCGACGACGACGACGACGACGACGACGCGACGCGCGCATGTGTCCCGCATGGTATGTTTTGCAAGGGATTGTGGCCCCTGGCAGGCGCGCGAACGCCGTTGAAAGAGCTTGCGAAAACAGCTCGCGCGAGCTCTATAACATAAATGTTGGAAAACCATTGGTTTTTAAGGATTCGGACAGCGCGCGCGGGTAGAATTTTTGAAAATTCGTACAGATGTTTTTCGAGAACCTACGGTGCGATTCGTATGATTTTATGTTGCGCGGTGCTAAAATTCCTAAGAAACCCAATGATGTTTGAAGATTTCGGCGTGCGCGCGCGAAGAAAAAACGAATGTGTCCCACATGGTATTATTTGACAGGGATGAAGTTCGAAGCACGTGAAAAAAGTTGCTCGCAAGAGCCCGTTTGACAGAAATGTTGAAAAAGTATTGGGTTTCCTAAGAAATCCGCAAGAGCGCGCGGGGTGAGTTTTTGAAACCCTTTTTTTGAAAAACCATTGGGTTTTTTCATGCTTTTATATGAAAATCGTTACGAAGACTAAGGTTTTGGAAGGATTTCGTCTTGCGCGCGCGAATGTGCACTTCGTGTCATTTTTTGCAAGGGATTCTTGAAGTTTGGTCATGTTAGAACAAGAAATGTCCACTTTGCCTTATTTTTTGCAAGGGAAAACCGGACGTAACAAAACAACCGGATCTGGACACCCCGTTTTGCCTGAGACTTCCTCACGAAAATGATGAAAATGTGGCTGCGGCCTAGGCGCGGCGAGGGGGCCGCGCACCAGGGGCCCCAACAATAATTATTCTTTAGAATAAATAATGTTCAACAACAACAACAACACCAACAACAACAACAACAACAGCAACAACAACAACAACAATAATAATAATAACAACAACCACAACAACAACAGCAACAACAACAACAATGCAACAAGCATAATTCTCAACACGAACTCCCTATTCAGCCACGCACCCATGGACAATGAATGGCCGTTCGGCCCCCTCACTCCGATATATGTATATATATATGTATACAGCAGATTATACACATACATCTGTGTATACGAATGTATGTATTAGCATGCATGCATGCATGCATGCATGCGTACAGACAGACAGACAGACAGACAGGCAGACAGACAGACAGACACGGACAGACACAGACAGACACAGATGTATACAGATATGCGTACACACATGCCCATATATATACATGCATGTATGCATAAATGCATGCATGCACAACTACACATATACATATACATAGACGTATACATGTACGTCTAAATGTATATACATACCTACATACATACATGCATTCGTACATACGTGCATGCGTGCATGCATGCATGCATGCATACGTACACACACATACACACAAACACACACGCATGCATACATACATACATGCATGCATACATACATACATACACCCATCCATACATGTATGCATACATACATAGTCACATACATGTATGCAGGCAGGCGTGTGTACATGTATGCATAAGCGCATATATATATATATAAAAACATACATACAGGCATACATGCACGCATACATACATACAGAACTGCAAACATAGGTACACACATACACATACCTACATTCATACGTACACCCATGCATGCATGCATCCGTATACATATACACCTACATATACATACACATGATCATGCACCGATGCGTACACCAAAACATACATATGCATCCATACAAACATACATACATACAACAATACACACATGCATGCATGCATACATACATGCATCCACGCACGTGCATACATACACAGACATACACACATGCATGCATGAATCCATGCATACATACATGCGTGCAGGCATGCACACATACACAAATAATATATATATATATATATATATATATATATTTATATATATATATATATATTCATACACGCACGTTATCACACACAATTCAACGGCGGACATATATACACACGTCTGCATTTGTGCATACATATATGCACATATATTCAAACGGATATGCATGTGTGTTGGTATATTCTAACATATAGATATGTAGAACTGTATACATATACACTGTATAGGTATACTAGAACCATCGCGCGCGCTTCGCGCGCGCTCAGGTTCTAGTAGGCCCCAGGCCTTGACGAATTCACTGCTCCACTGAAATAGTGGACCACAGTCCACGCATGCCAATCTGCTTTCCGAAAGGCCTTCGAGGGAAATAGTTGTGTAGGGGGGCGGAGGCCGTATGAATCGGGTTCACAGAAGGCCTTCTGGAGCATGGGTTTGGGGGGCGTCTTGGGGAGCCTGTTGGGGCGTGCCGTCGTCGTCGTCGTAATGTCGTCGTCGCCTGTTGGGGCGCGCCGTCGTCGTCGTCGTCGTCGTCGTCGTCGTCGTCGTCGTCGTCGTCGTCGTCGTCGTCGTTGTCGTCGACTTCGTCGTTTCGTCGTCGTCGTCGGCTCAAGAGGGCACTTGGGGCAATGCGAAACGATCTGTGGAGGGCCGCGAGAAGACGATCAGTCATGTTCCCAATCAACATCCCAGACAGCTCTCCTGCAGCATGATGGTACTTCGAAGCATCTGGAGACTCGCGGGCCCTTGATGAACCATGTCCCCGGAAGGCTTTCTGGGGACATGGTTTGTTGGGGTGTGTTGGGGGGTCTCTTGGGCGTTCCCTGGGGGCCCCTTGGGGGCCTCCAGGAACTCTCGGGCCCATGATGAACCATGTCCCCGGAAGGTTTTCTGGGGACATGATTTCTTGGGGTGTGTTGGGGGGCCTCTTGGGCGTTCCCTGGGAGCCCCTTAAATTTGGGGTCTCTTGGGGCTTCCTGGGGGTCTCTTGAGCGCTTCACGGGGCTTCGTGGGAGCCTCTTGGTGGCCTCCGGGGGCCTACAGGCGGCCTCTAGGGCCAGAGACCTCGAAATATCGGTTGGCGGTCCCCCTCTGGGCTCTCTCTTGGGGAGCTCTTGGGGCACAGTTGGGTTGTCTGGGGAGCCTCCTGGGCCGTCTTGGGGCCCTCTTCGGGGCCTCGTGGCCCGTCTTGGAGCGATCTGAAGGGCCTCCGAGCGAGGCCGTGAGGGAGCGCTGGGAAGCGGGGAAAGCGAGAACGCCTAAATCCTTCAAAAACCATACGAAAATTGGTGAATCTTGCCTCCCAAGGCCCTCTTGAGGGCAGTTTGGGCGTCTTCGGGGCCTCTTGGGACCGTCTAGGGCCCTCTCGGGACCTCCATTAGCCTGTCGTCGCCTGCTTCGGGCGGGCCCGACCTGAGCCCTGAGCCCAAAGTGGCTCGGCCGTCGCCATGGTCGTGGCCGTCGTCGTCCTTTGCCGATCGGCGGCGTCAACTGGTGTCATCGACGTCGATCGTCGTCATCGTCGGTCGTCGCCGTCGACGACCGTCGTCGTCATCGTCAATCACCGTCGCCGACCACCGTCGCCGCTCGTCGATCGCCCTGGAGACTTCCCCCCACTCCTCCTCCCCTCCTCCTCCTCCTCCTCCTCCTCCTCCTCCTCCTCCTCCTCCTTCCCCTCTTCCTCTTCCTTCTCCTCCTCCTTCGAGCTCTCCGTCTCCTCCGCGCGGAATAACTCAAACAACATGTCGCGCAAATGACGAACTGTGGCCCTCCGGGCCATTTTGAGTGTCCTCTGAGGGCCCTTTTGGGGCCGTCCTGGGGCCCTCTTGGGCGCCCTAGGAACCCGGAAATCATGTTCCTGGAGAAGCTTCTGGGAACATGGTTTCGAACGGGGCCCTCTTGGGCCTCACTGAGGCCGTCTTGGGGGCCTCCTGGGCCGGCTTCGGGGCCTCTCGGGCCGTCTTGGGGGGTTCCGTGAGCCCCACGGGACGACCCTTTCGGGTCGTCTTGGGCCCTCTTGGGTCTCTCTTGGGCTGTCTTGGGGCTCCTCGGGGGCGTCTGGGGCACTGTGAAGACGAAGCAAGCGAGCATGCTGTTTTACAGAGGGAATGGGCAGATTTTTGCCTCTTGAAGGCCCTCTTGGGGCCCTCGTCGGCCATCTTCAAGCCATCTCGGGCCCTCTGGGGCCTCGCTGAGGCTGTCTTGTGGGCCTCTTGGGCGCCCTGGGAACCTGGAAAGCATGTTCCCGGAGAGGCTTCCGGGAACATGATTTCGAACGAGGCCCGCTTGGGCCTCCCTGAGGCCGTTTTGGGGCCTCCTGGGCCGGCTCGGGGTGTTCCGTGAGCCCCACAGGACGACCCTTTCGGGCCGGGCGTCTGGGGCACTGTGAAGACGAAGCAAGCGAGCACGCTGAAAATGTACGTTTTACGAGGGGAATGGGCCGATGTTTGCCTCTTGAAGGCCCTCTTGTCTCGGGCCCTCTGGGGCCTCGCTGAGGCTGTCTTGTGGGCCTCTTGGGCGCCCTGGGAACCCGGAAAGCATGTTCCCGGAGAGGCTTCCGGGAGCATGATTTCGAACGAGGCCCCTCTAGGCCTCCCTAAAGCCGTCTTGGGGGCCTCCCGGGCCGGCTTCGGGGCCTCTTGGGCCGTCTCGGGGGGGCCCGTGAACCCCACAGGACGACCCTTTCGGGCCGTCTTGGGCCCTCTTGGGTCCCTCTTGGGATGTCTTGGGGCTCCTCGGGGGCGTCTGGGGCACTGTGAAGCGAGAGTGCTGAAAATGTACGTTTTACGAGGGGAATGGGCCGATGTTTGCCTCTTGAAGGCCCTCGTGGGGCCCTCGTCGGCCATCTTCAAGCCATCTCGGGTCCTCTTGGGGCGCTCGTGGGCGTCTTCGGGGCAACTTGAAGCTTTCTTGACCATCTGTGCTGCCCGCGTGGCCTGTCGCAGGCAATTTGGAAGCGGCCCGGGGCAGTCCTGGGAGGTCTGTGACGTACCCCCCAAAGGTCCGGGGGGGCGCCCATGGGGGATGATGGTACCGGTTTTGCCCCCCCCCGGCCTAATCCGATATATATATATATATATATACACATATATATATATATATATATATATATATATATATATTTAAAAGATATATATATATACATATATATATATACATACATACATATATATATATACACATATATATACACATGTATATTGGGGGGCTCGTGGGGCCTCCTGAAAGCCTCTCAGGGTGGACGGCTCGGAGTTTCGGCTCGCGTCGCCCATCTTGGACCCCTCCTGGGGCCGTCCTGGGGTCCTCTCGGGCCGCCTTGGGTGCCCTTGCGCCGTCTTGGGACCCTCCTTGGGCCGTCTTGGGGCCGTCTTCGAGGCCTCTGGTGCTGCCTTGGAGCGGACAGTGTGCCTTGTCACGTGTGCGAGAAGATGGAAATGAACGCTGCCCGGGTCTGGCGGGCCGCGCTTGAATATACGTGCGCGCTGCCTGGATCTGGACCTGCCGGGCCATGCCCAAAAAGAAATGCTGATGCGCGCCGCCCGGATCTGCCGGGCCACGCCCAGGAGAGCACAACGGAAAATGCGCGCCGCCCGGATCTGCCGGGTCACGCGTGGGGGAAGGAGAACTGAGATGGCAGCTGTGGGCTCGGAGGAGTCTGCATGAGGCAGGAGGCAAGAGGCAGGAAGAGGGAGCAGGAGGGAAGCGGCATGGAGGCGGAGAAGGAAAAAGGTCTCCGGTTAGAACAGCAAGGCGTGCGCACTGGGGAAAAACAAAGTCCGCACTGTGGCGACCTTTGCTGGAACTGGCGCGCGCTGCCCGACGGGCCAGCTTTCACAAGCCAACAAAAACAAATGCGGCGACTGCATCTAAGATTGGGCCAAGTGGTGATGAACTAGGAGACGGGACCGCTAACCATCTCGGCGCCGTTAGCCTCATCCCTCGCCAAGTTCGCTTGCGGCGACCTCGCTCCGTTCAGTCCACGCTGCTTACCACGGGAAGGGTATCCAGGTTTTCATTACCCAGGTTTTCATTACCCTCGGCAGCCGCGTCCCTGGGCTTCCCATCGATCTCCACGGCGTTCTTGTCCGCGCCGCGATCGGCGTCTGCCTCGCCGCCGCTGCTCTCGGGGATGCCGTCGGCCCCCGCACCCTGTCGGTCGCCCATGTCGAGCTGGCCACGAACGGCGAAGACCCCGGCGACGCCAAACGCAAGCAGCATCACCACGTAGCAGGTGCTGATCAGGCCCGTCACGGCGTCGACGTCCTCGCCGCCGTTGTCCGTGCCGACGAGCCTGGTAGCCGCGAGCAGAATGACGAGCAGCAGCGCGGTCTGCAGCGCGTCCAGCACGTTCACCACCGGCGCCCTCCACGGCCAAACCAGGCACAGGGCCACCAGGTACACCACCATCACCACCGACAGCAGCAGCAGCTGCGTGAACGGGTTCGGCAGCAGCGTGATGATGCTCACCGCCGTGGACCGCGCCAGAAAGCACAGGCCCCAGTAGTAGGCGTGGGCCTCGAAGCGGAACAGGACGAACTTGATGGCCTGCAGATGCTTGACCATGTCGGTGTCACGCCACGCGGGCGACTTCTTCACGGAGAACACGTACAGCGCGATGAACAGGAAGCAGGGCAGGAGGCCGAAGACCGCAAACACGACGAGCCCGGCGTACGTCCCGCTCGAGGTGTCGATGTCCGGGCTGCTCAGCATGCTGCTGCGGTCGCCGATGCCCGGGTGCGCGAAGGTGCGGAAGGGCCCGACCACGGTGAGGATGATTGTGATGAATGCCGCCTGGAAGAAGTTGCACACGGTGTTGAACGTCTTCGAAGATTCCCACTGCCACCGCTCAGGCAACAACTTGCTCAGCGCGCACAGCACGCCGAACACCGCAAACAGGAACCAGGGCAGCCCAACCTTCAGCGCATAGCTTGCGATCACGGAGGAGCCCAGGGTGCACTCCGGTCTGAGCGCCCTGAGGTCCAACGCGAACAGCCGTGTCCCGGCAAAGAGCCCGCCAAGGCCGTCCGGGTACGAGATTGCCAACGATGCCAACGCCGCGCACGACTGCATCGTCATCACAAACGTCCCGGCGCACATCGCCAAGACCATGAGAGGCGACAACTGGCGGTTCAGCGGTCCGTTGATGAAGTAGTAGCTGGCCACCACCGCGGTAATGCCCGCCAGGACCGCAAGGACCAGAATGGCTGGCTCCCACCCGTCGCACTCCGCGCAGGGGCCGTCGATTGTGGCGTACGAGCCTTCGGCACATTTCGCGCACGCGATGCCTTCGCGGCCGTCGTCGCAGGAGTCGGCGGGCCCGCCGGGGCAAGGACTCACGTATCCCTCCTGACTCAGCTGCTGAATGCCAAGTCCATCGCACAGGTAGATGTTCAGCGCCAGCTTGTCCGAGGCCGAGCCCGCAGAGCTCTGGTAGCCCGCCGCCAGGTAGTAACCCTGGGCGACGGCCATGTTCGGTCGCGACACTGGGACGATGTTCACCTGGCTTGCGTCCGGCTCCACGTATCCGTGCAGCGCGTGGTTCTCTCCCAGAGCGTCGTAGAAGGACGAACCTAGTGGGCACTCGAAACCTTCGGGGCACGTCTGGCAGATGGCCAGATCGTCCTTGGTCGCCACATCCACCAGAGACCCGCTGGCATCCGCGACCGTCAGCATGGGCGCGTCTGGATCCATGGTCCCCTCGAGGCATAGGCAGCTGGCAAGCAGCGAAGCAGACTTCTCGAAGGTGGTCCGACCCGCTGGGCAGGCCTCGCACGAGGTCCGCCCCGCCGCGGTCTGCACCTGCCCAATCGGGCACGCGGCACACGAGGCCATCCCCGCCAAGCCTGCGAACTCGCCGGGCGGACACGGCGAGCAAGACGCGGAGCCTGGCGTGCCCGCGGCGGACCCCGCAGGGCATGGCTCGCAGGTGGGCTGCCCGCTCTGATTCTGGAATTTCCCCAGCGCGCACGCGTCGCACTGATCCGCGCACCCGCCGCTCTCGCAAGATGTGCCCGGCGGGCAGGCCAACTCGGAGTCCTGCCCTGCCAGTGGCTGGTAGTAGCCGGGGCTGGTGGCCTTGCAGCTGCTGACGTCGGGGTCCAGATACTGCCCTGGCGGGCACACCGGAGGCATGCCCAGCAACATGCTGTCGTTTCGGGGGTAGCCCAGCACCGTCCCGGTCCCGAACTTGACGCCCGCGGCGGCAGCACCACGCTCCACGAGCAGTGGCGTCTCGGAGGAGCTCGCGGTGTACATGTCCCACGTGGGGTGACCGATCAGCTCTGCGGCGTTTCCCGGCGCTGTCCGGTAGTTGACCACGGAGAAGTGGGAGCTGCGCTCCTGCCGCATGCCGTCGCGCCACTCGAACCCGATGGGCCCACCCGAGCCAAGACAAGTCCCGTAGAATTCCTTCACCGGGGTGTCGGCCAGGCCGTCGCCGTCCTTGTCGAGGCTCACGTTCTCGCCATCGGCGTCTACGCCCTGGGTCAGGATGTGCAACATCGCCATCAGCTTCTCTGGGGTCACCGAGTCCTTGTCGAAGCCCTGGGAGTGGTTCGCCTTGTGCAGGCGCACCCCAATGTCGAACGCGGCCGCGTAGGACACCACCGAGTCATACCCTAACGGGCCATACGCGCTGCATGCCTCAAAATCGTCTTTCACCTCGTGCCATGTAAAATGTGCCCTGTTCTCATTGTCAGAGCCTTCAGCGCCCATCATGCCGTTGTGGCCGATGCTGGTGCTGCTGCACAGCACGTCTTGTTGCGTGCCGCAAATAGGTGACTGCTCGAAAGGAGTGTACACGAAGGATTCGTTCGCAAACCCGCCACCGTTCACGAACGGCTTCACGAACTCTGTCAGCGGCGGCACCATGCCGTACGCGGCCTGCCACGCCGCAGCTATCTCATGGCTGGGCAGCACCGCGAACGCTCCCTCGAAGTCCACCTCGTTAGTGCCAATAAATTCCGGGTGGACGACGATGTAGCCCTGGTCGCCGTCGGACAGGCCTCGGCTGTTCAGCGCCCTCATGATCTTCGAGTTCTGCGCCACCAGGCCGTTGAGCACGATGGTCCTGGTGCCAGAGGCAGCGAACTCGTCCATCAGGCCATCCAGGAGCACGTCGGTCTGGCTGGCGGAAGCGGCGGGCACCAGGCTGCTCGCGGTGGCGCAGGTCAGGCCGTACTTGGGGCAATACCCCAGGAGCGCGTCCCGCATGCCAATGGGAAAGCTGTCGTCGATGGTGACCACGAACACCTTGGAGATGCCCCACGACTGCAGCCACACGGCCACCATGTCCATCTTCAGCGAGTCTGGGGGACAGGTGCGCCAAAAGTTGGGGTACGCGCTGTTGCCAGACTTCTGGGACATGGCGGGGTTGGTGGCGTAGTTGCTCATGATGGGCACGTTGAAGCTGTCGAAGAACGAGCTGGTCTTCATGGTGGTGCCGCTGTACGATGGGCCCAAGATCCCGTGCACGGGCAGAATGTTCGTGGACGCGCCCGAAAAGTTGGACTCGTTCCACGGTGCCACTTCGGTGCCTGCCCAGCTCATGAGCGGAACCTGGGCTTCGGGCGTGGAGCCGACCAGCTTCAACCCAGCAGACAGCGCCGCCTTCGGCGGGGAATCCCCTGTTTCTTGCTCGGTCGCGTCCAACAGGACCAAGGACATGTCCCAGCCCTCGGACAAGTCCCCGATGGCCCTGCACCAATTCGAGTTCCGCTCGTTCACGTGCTTGATGGCCATGGACTGGTACGCGGTGTCCATGAAGCCGCAACTCTCCCCCAATCGTGTGATGTGGTCTACGCCGCCCAACCGCAGATTCGCCTTGTTGTAATACGCGGGGCCGTCGTTGACACCCAGCTTGGATCCCTCCCCCGCCGCTGCCACCGCTACAGCGGCAGCCAACGCGAGCTTCGTGACGACAGGCATTGCCACGTTCGGGACCACCGCCGAGCTAGCCAAGCGGGGGCTGGGTCGCCACAACTTGAGCTAAAACGCTTGAGCTAGAATGGCCACGGGGGCGGCGCGCCAGAATGGGACGCGGCGGCGTGCCTCCGAGCCGAACGCTTCTGATCAAAACCAGGTTGCAGCACATCGTCCCACGAGTGGTGTGGCCAGAAGGCGCCCGCCACGGAGCTGATATTGGAAGACTCCTCCTCGCGCGCGTCACCCCAAGGGGGGGGGGGGAGGGCACGCACACACACAGTAGCAGTGGCACGTTGAGGCGCGACGCCGCGAGAAGACGAAGGCCGAGGAGGGCCAGAGGCACAGCCCCCTTGGAGGGACCCAGACACAAAGGACCCCGAGCGGCCCCTGCCTCGGCGTCTCGGCTGCGTGCTCACGCAGCTGCCTCTGCCCCTCCGGTCGCCACCGCCGTCGCCGGCCCCGGACCTCGACGAGACGCGCAGTGCCCCTGGCGCTTGCCCTCCGTCTCGGCGGGGCCCGTGTCAAGCACTGAGACGAAGGCAGAATCGAGGCACCATCGGACCGACATGAATCGGAAGTCTCTGGTCAGCGCTTTTTGTTTGTAGTCGGCGTTTCGACACTGGGCGGAAGGGGGGAGAGGAGAGGGGGGGGGGTTTGGCTCCGGACCTCTGCTTGGTGCGGCTGTTTGCACCAGTGCGTCCTATGGGGGAGATTCCACCTGCTCGAAACAGGCGCCAAAAAAAACAAGATCTACTCCTTGGGGGGGGGGGGGGGTGCGAGGGCCCGCGCCGATCGGCAAAACAACGCATAGGAAAAACCGTCCTGAGAACCGGCGTGCTTGGAAGATGTATCGGGCGCCGCGGCCGTCTCCGAGCGCTCCAGAAGGCTCGGAAAGCGTTCCGGAACGCTCTGGAACGGGTTCGTCTCTATTCTAGGCCCGTCCAGCGCAATGACCGAGTGGGGGACCGACTACAGAATTGATGTTACCCCCAAATGCACTTGTTCGTCGAATTCACGAGACATGCACAGCATGTCCGGGAATCCACGAACATCACACGCACTGTCGCGCAGATCCGACGAGAAAGCCAAATTTTGGGGCAAACCCATTCTGCAAGCGATCCCCTACTCGAGATGAGGGGGAGGGAAGGCGAGGACCTGTGCTGAAAAAATCCATGCCAGCGTTTTTCCTAATTCTCGACCTCCGGGCCCCCCCGCCGGGGGCCCCCAGGAGGCCGTCAAGCAGCGGTTCGGGAGGACTTACGTTGGGTCGGGCATGTCCAACTACAGGCGGATTGTGGACGAAAGCGAAATGATCAAAGCAATGCCCAAACATGGTCAAAAACACTCAACAGATCGCCCCCTGACAATCTTTATTCGATTTTTATACTATGGCCCCGCTTCCGACGACGTGGCGAAGGGAGACAGATGGCGAGGAGGAGGAGGAGGAGGAGGAGGAGGAGGAGGAGGAAGGAGCATTCCTCAAGGGGGGAGCCGATCGACCTTCCGACGGGGCACGCACTGGGGCCTCCCAATTGGGTTTCGAATGGGGAGGGACACGCGTCTCCACTTCCCCCCCCCCCCCAATCTCGGCAACACGCGCAAGAAGGGGGGGAGAGGCTGGGGGAAGGACGGCGACGACGAGGAGCAAGAAGAGGAGGAGGGCGATGACAGTGGACGAGGGGGGAGACGACGACGACGGCTGCGCCTTCCACCTGATACCCGATGGAAGGCACAGTACATCCGCAAAAAGTTCGGTGGGGAACCCGCGCGGTTACCGCGCGGGTTCTCTACCGAGAACTCTCCTCGGGGAGGTGCGCACTCATCGTCCCTCCTGTCCCTCCCCCTCCCCCCATCCCTCCTGTCTGATCCTCCTTCCCCCCTCTTGTCCCCCTCCCCCTCCCTCCCTCCGACCACGGCGTTCATCTCCCTCCTCCTTCTTCCCCCCCTCCCTCCTGCCTCGGTTTTTCCTCAAATCCCGAGTTCCCATCTCCTCCTCCTCCTCATCCTCCATATCCTCCTCCTGTTCCCCCTCCCGTTATTCGCTCCCTTATCCTCGTGCCCCTCTTTCTCCTGCCACTCCTTCCCCACCCCCTGTCGCCCCAAGCGCCCGTCCGAAGTTCGACTGCGACGACTCGCAATTTCAAATTTGAAACCCGACGCACGGTCGACGACCCGACGGCCAGTCGACAACTGAGTCGACAACCCCCTTCCCGTTCCTCCTCCTCGACTCCTCGTCCTGCTCCCTCTGCTGTTATCCTCCTCCTCGTCCTAATCCTTCGCAGCTCGACGCTGGCGATTTTCGAAACTCAACTCGGAGGCCGACGACCCGGGACGACCCGACGACGCGACGACGCGACGACCGCGACGACACGACGACGCGACGACGACGACGACGACGACGACGACAAGGCCGACGACCGCCCCGCCGCAATTTCGGCACGGGCCACGTGCCCTCCCAGCGCCCCCGGCGCCCCCTGCCGCCGCGGAGCCTGTCGCCGCCGCGGCGGCGACGAATGGCGGCGAATGGCGGCGCAGAGGCGCCGCCTTCATTCTCATCCCCGTCCCCGGGACTCATTCCCTGCCCAGTGCCCTCATCGGAGGGCGAAGGTCTTGACCCCCTTCGTGGGGTCGATCTTCGTCTTCTTCGCGACCTCCATGGTGCCCCATGGGATGGACTCGCGGAAGCACTTCGCGTCTCCTGGGGGGGGGGGGGGGCGGGGCGGAGGGGCAGGCGGGGAGGAGGAGTGAGGGGCGTGTGGTTTTGACGCCAAAGCTGCCTACCTCCTAGGCCCCACGCCAAACCTAAAACCGCGCTGCCAATGCAAACCCAGACCCCCTCTCAACCTCGAAAACGTATTTTTCAAATCGCAAGCTCCAAACCCAACCGATTCCCGCTGAGTCATTCAGTCATTCATTCCTCCCTCCCCCTTCCTTCTCACCCTCCTTCCTCCCTCCCCCCTTCCTCCCTTCCCCCTTCCTTCTCGCCCTGTCTGTCATATCCGGTGGCGCCATTCTCGGCGCGGCGAACCACCTCGCCCTCGTCGTCGCTGCCGCGCTTCTTGACGGGGGGGTCACCTGCTAGGAGGGCGAGGCGAAGATCAAAGTCATGAGAAGAAGATTGGGAATGGGGGGATAGGGACGACAAAGCTAGTAAGGATGAGGGGGAGGGGAGGGGGGGCAGATTCGGCACCCCTGATGAAAGCGCTCAGCGGGCAGCTCGAAATCCGACGGGCACTCGAACGACGGCCTTCGAGAGGTTCGAGTCGAACGTCTCGAAGGCCGAATCCCACCCAGACCCCAAGGTCGATCGTTGACAAGATTTCGCTGTCTGTCGATGTCGTCGCCAACAGATTGAGGAGGAGGGGGCGGGATAGGGTGAGCAGGAGCGAAGTATGGGGGAATGGAGGGAGGGATCGGTAAGAATGGGGACGACGAAAAACAACGAGAACAGTAAAGATCCCCCTTCTGGCCTCTTCTCCGATGGGGCGCCCCGCTGCGACAGGCGCCATGCGCGGCATGAAGTAACCGCATGCCGATGATAATAAAGGGACCCCCCCCTTCAGTGTTTAGAGTTGATTATCGTCGCCCTATGCAAAATTCAAATTGGGCGGCGAGCGCTGAGGCCGAACTTCATTATCACCTCGAAACGCTATGTTGAGATAGCAACATCAAGCGATGTTGCTATCCCCGCGCGCGCCTGAACTTTTTTCATCTCTGGGGTTGATTATCCATGGAAAGGGGGGCACATGAGCTACCCTACATGAGCACTTTAAAAAATCAATTTCCATAAAGCGTTTGTAAAGTAAAATTGATAGATTTGGAACGTTCCATTGTTCCGTTCTTCTTCTCTTCTTCTGATTCTCTTCTTCTCTTCTTATTATAATTATACTTTCCTCTTCTTCTTTTATATTTCTATATGTCCTCACGCTCGCCTGAACTGTTTTTTATCCCTGGGGTTGATTATCCATGGAAATTGAGGCACATGAGCTACCCTACACGAGCACTTACAAAAAAAAAAAAAAAAAAAAAAAAAATCATAAAGCGCTTGCGAATTAAAATTGAAAGATTTGAAACTCGAGTTTTTTTTTTTTCTTCTCTTCGTCCTTCTCCTCCTCCTATCATTTCTTATATTTTATTATTTATTATCTTATTTTTCTTTGTTTTATATAGCTTCCTCCATTCCAGCGAGATAAGCCATTGTTGAGGATATTTCTATGAAAACTAAACGCCAAGGATGTCTCAAAACGTGCTCGGTTTGGTCTCCTCTTGATCATCTCTTACTTCGAGATTATGCTGAGGTCTGCTGGGCTACTTTTATTATCTCTCCCTGAACCCCGAACTTTATTATCCCCTAGTGTTTATTCTCACGAGCATGAGGTTAGCGCAGCGACTGCCCCAGCACAACGACAACGAAAGGCACGTGCACAACCTTGCGCGTCGGGTGAATCGTCTTGACCGCCTGCGGCCAGCGGGAGGAAGGACACGCAAAGTGGGTGGAGGAAGAGTGAGAGGGGGGAGCGAGCGAGCAAGCGATGAGCATCCTCTTCCCCCTGCTCACGCTCATCCTTTTCCCACCTCACGGGCTTCCCCCCTGTTCCTCTCCTCTCTTGTCCTGCCCCCCCCCCCATGGATGCGCCGCAGCCCTCCTGCCCTCCTCTTCTGCCGGCGCGCCGTCTTGGGGATGGCCGATCAACTGGAAGAAAGGGGGGGGGCAGAAAGAGAAAGAGGGATATATAGAAACATGACATGGAGGTAACATAGGCCATGAGGGAGAGGGAGATGGAGAGAGAGAGAGAGAGAGAGAGAGAGAGAGAGAGAGAGAGAGAGAGAGAGAGAGAGAAAAAAAAAAAAGAGAGAGAGAGAGAGAGAGAGAGAGAGAGAGAGAGAGAGAGAGAGAGAGAGAGAGAGGGAGAGAGAAAGAGAGAGAGAGAGAGAGAAAAAGAGAAGTCAGAAAGGCCAGGGGCTTCCAGGAAAGAGGAGCGAGAGAGAGAGAGAGAGAGAGAGAGAGAGAGCAGACGAGAGACCCCATGTTAGGAAGTAGGGGCTGTTCAATGAAAAAGGACAATGGGCATCGTCCAACG